ATGGCTTTGAATATCGAAAACGACCAGCTATTATCAAGATAGATTCACTTGAAGTTTGAGAAAATTTAGTAAAGAAAGCTAAAAAATTTTAGTATTTTTTGATCCGACCTCTTCAAGATATAGTATGCTAATGGATGATATACAAGAGAATCAGAATTTGACAAGAAAATTTTGAAATTCTAACTTTTTAGATAGAAATTTTTTAAAAAATAATGAATTTGATGGAATTTTACGGATTTCCGTGTGATAGATAATCATCTGCTGATCACAATAATTTGAAAAGCACGATAATATGATGAATTCCATTTAGTGAATAGAAAGAATTGGAAAAGGTGGATTTAAAACAGTTTACTCTGCTATATGGACATGCACATGTACTAGTAATATCCAAAACGAAACCGTTGCTCTTAATTATTTTATAGATCAAAAGATAGCTATAAAGAACTTCTAAAAAGAGATAATTATTGGATAGAATATTGAATGCAAATATTATTTAACTATTATTCTAACTGATATTTATATATGTAAAGCTTAATGCGTATTTGAATATTGAAAATAAAACTCTACATTTTTGCAATGTCATAGAATATGGAAAGATGAAGGCACAGATAATTGTTTTTTAGTTATGCAATATGCACCAATAGAACTGTAGAATCTTTTAGTAAGAATCTTCATGTTATTGCACAAATGAGAGAAAAAACTGATATACTATTATATATTACATTTGATCAATCAATTCAATTGTAACATGTTTCAAAATAATATATATAATACTTATATTATAGTGATCTAGGATTTGTAACAGTGGTAAACAATGCATTGTTTACAGAATCTGGAGAAGTTTATTGAAACTAAAATTTTAGTAGATTGAGGCTTAGAAGACCTTTGCTTTACTTTCCTTAACTCCAGCCAATGAAAATAAAAATTCTTCTTACTAAATTAAAAGATTATTACTTTATTAAAATCATTTTATAGTCAAGCTATATTTTTAACAGTTAAAAAAAAAATCAAAAAAATCAAAAATTCTATAATAACTAACAATCTTATACATTACGCAAATAAAATATTTTGTACTATAATAAATAATTTGATTTTCTATTCTACTTCTTTAATTTTTTTTAGTTCTTGAATTATCTTTTCATTGTCTTCTAATTTTTGAATTATCTTATTTTCATTATCAGTTAACGTGTGAATCTTTACTTCAATTTCTTCTAATTTTTGAAATAAATTATTTTTATATTTTGTTTTATCCTTACCTAGAATTTCTAATAATGTATTAGGAATAAATGGCATTTCAATAGTATCATCCCAATTATTATTTTGTATTCTAGTAACAATATCATATAGTTTGTCAAGACTAAATCTGTAAAATCTTTAAATATTAATAAAAAATATTAAAATTATATAAATACTAAAACTTTGCAATCAATAATAATAAATTAATTTTACATAGTTTCAGGAAACCAATTATTTTTCTACGTTGGTGTGGTAATATATAAAATAACTCTATTTCTGATAAAATCTGTTTTTTTTTAAAAAAAATATATTTTAGAAATAAAATTATTAAGTTGACATTTTAATAAAAATATCACCTTTGCTCTTTGAAGTTAAAATAATTCCTTTTTATTAGTTTCATTAATAAAATTAGACAACAATCCAATAAACAAATTCATTAAATATATAGTATAAAAAAAGAAAAAAGAATAATCAAAATTGTCAATATTATATTTTCAGTTAATGACCAACTAGATATATAAGATGAATCTCCTATAAATAATTATTATGTAATTAGAAATAAATATACTGTAATTATTATTAGAGAAAATAAATAAAAATACCTGTTAACATTATATATATAGCCAAAAATGCTGTATCTAAATTTGTAAACATATTTGTATTTAATTCTTCTGAATTATTTGAATCATTTGAAATATTAGATGACGGCCTTAATAAAATATGTAAAGAAGGTGCAAAAGCAAATAATATTAATCCTATTATTACAAAAAAGGACAAAGAATTTTGGATGACTCCAATTATCATTGTCCAATAAGTACCACCAAATTTAATAGCACGAAAAAATGTTTTTTTTTTTTTAAGGTGAGGTTTTGCCTTTATCTTTATTAATAATTTGTGTTGAGAATCTACTAGGGGTTTCTCT